CCACTCCACTCACCTCTGACTCTAAAGCTCACATTTTGAATAATAACAGAATAATTCGTGTTTCCTGATGGAAAATAGAGACGCTATAGAGCTGGACCTATTGTGTGAGCCTCACCATTTTACCAGGTTGAGCTTATTTTTCTGACTCTCGTGGGGACCCGGCCTTTTCTTCCCAGTGCAGTTGCCATCGCCATCCTCCACCCCTTCTCCGCCCACTGAGGCTTGGCAGACACTTTCCCCTTCAGGTCGCCTCCAGCCTTAGCAGGAGGGAGGGCGGGAGGGCGCACATGAAACTGGCCGCGTTCCGCCCCACCAGCTGTCAACACACACCACCCACCCTGGGCAAGTGGCCGCTCGCATGGCCGGGGAGGGGAGGGCCGTGGGCTTGTGTGCTCGCCATTGGCACCCCCAAGTCGTCTGCCCATTAGGATGCGATGGCATGGGGCCAGGGGGGCGAGCTGTCTCCCCACATAAACGTAATCGTACAGCACATAGCCCGGTGCAGCCGCGTCCCGGCAACAAGGAAGCAAACGGCTTCAAGGCTCTGTCAACAAGGGTTTGGAGACAGGAGCCACCCAGGAAATGCGCGTTCCGAGGCTGCGCCTCCACGGGAAGCCACCTTGGGCTCACCCTGTGCCCAGAAGCAAAGGAAGGGCCCACCTGCCTCCGTGGGGGAGCGCTGTCCAGCTGCGAGGGGCCCAGGCCGAGTTTCCGAGCTGACTTGGCACCCCCCGAACCCCCGACCCGCCCTTTGAGGCTTTTAAACATTTTATAAAAGTAACGAGTTTTGGAAAACTGTCGCAAATACTAGAACCCAGGTTGAAGAGTAAGTCTAATCTGAACTTCTCCGGAAGCCCCTGTAGACACTTGATCCCAACCGATCCCAGCATCGCCCCGCCCCTTCCCCTAAAGTCACAGCTCAATGCTAAGTTCCCTACACTTATTTTTTTAATTGAATTAATTGGGGTGACGTTGGTTAATACAATTATATCGGTTTCAGGTGCCTAACAACCACCTTTCCTGACAACCCATTTTCCCATAAAGCTATAAGCTCACTTTTTTCCGTGTTGATATAAAAAATAACTTTCTCCTTTATTACTTTTTAATCATACTAGCAATATCTGTTCATTGTAGGAAATTGCAAACCACAGATCAACTAAAAGCATTTTTTAAATAGCCACAGAGCCTTCCCCACCAAGATAAGCCGTATGACCGTCTGTTTAACCCCGTGCACACAAATCCAGTTTTTTAAACAGAAACAGTTAACCGCCTTCTCGGGCCCCGGGCGTGCACGTGCCCGAGCACAGTTGGCCGCATCCTGCCGCCCTGTCGCCATGGCGTCGGTGTCCACCCAGAGAAGACAGCCGTGAGGGTTTCATCGGCACGAGGTGTGGTCATCTTCCAAACCTGCGTGTGGTGCTTGGCCACCAGTCGAACAAGGAAGTGACGAGCAGGAGCCCGCTGGCCTCCCGACAGGACGGCTGCTCCGAGGCGTAGCCTGCTGGCCAGAGGCCAGACGGGTGCTGCTGCCCCGTGAAGAGGCCATTCCAACGCAAGGGGTTTTTCCGGCAGCTCTGGCCACACCTGACGTCCTGGGGTTTAGGGGCTGTGGGCTGGGTGGCAGGTCATGTGTCAGACTCCTCCTGGGATGGAGGCTGATGTAATCTTGGGCTGTAGTAGAAAAACCGACAGAACGGGTTTTGTCAGCACACAGCCTGGCACAGCACTGGGGGCGAGGGGTCCACACAGCGGTGGCCCTGGAGCCGCAGGTGGCGAGGTGTTTGTCTAACCTGGTGCGTCTAGGAGGCGGGAGGACCTCGGCTGACTCTGTCTCCCGTGCAGCGTGGCAGGCGGAGATGGTGCGCTGACAAGCGCCTTTCATCTCACTAGTAATTGCCCGTATTAGAAAACATACGTAATTACTAACCTGGAACCTGTGATTTTGCGGACATTGTTGCTTAGGACAGAGCTCAAGCAGGTCTTTAGGTAAAAACAAGAGTGAGTCAACAGAAAGGACGATATTGAGTCCAGGAGAGTATCATTGGTGCCCAGCTGCAGCCCAGATCAAGCAGGCAGCCAAGCGTTAGCCCCTAAGCCCACAAGGCCGGTGCCAGCCTTGACCTGCCCTCGAGGCCAGAGGCCCTTCAGCGGCAGCTCCGTGGCCTTCGCCTTGCGGTGGGAGCTGGTCAGGGGTCCCGAGGGAACGGGAAACAAGCAGCCAGCGCAGGTGCGTGATCGGAGTTCCCAAAACCGGGACGCTGGGCCAGGCCGCCACTCCTGCAACCTTGTGGCAAACGCCTCTGAACTGTGGGCCTCGGTTCACCACCTTCACCGTAACTTGAGCACTGATGTTTGAAGTGAGACTTATTTTAATTGATTTTTTTAGAGAGAGGGAAAGGGGAGAGAGAGAGAATCATCGATGTGAAAGCGAAACAGCCATCGGCTGCCCCCTGTACATCCCACAGGGATGGAGCCCGCAACCGGGAGTGAGGCCTTGTCCCCAGCAGGAGCACCAGTCCACCGAGAAGTGTTGGCTGAGCGATCCCTCCAAGTGCCTGTCTCGTGGGGACCCTGCGGCCCGCTTTTCGCGAGGTGCCCAAGGGGCGAGGGTGTGTGGTGCCCGAGGGGCGAGGGATGGGGGGCGGGCCGGGCGGGTCACACCCAGAGAGCAGGCCGACTCCCCAGGCCCTGGCGCCTGCTCCCACTCCCCGCAGGGCTTGGCCAGTGCTGCCCCAGCAGCAGCTCTGAGCACTTCCCTGACACCATCCCTCATCTTCCATCGGACCAGCCAGATGGCACTGGCAGGATGGAGGCTGGCAGGTCGGGGTGGAGATGGGGGCAGCCCCGCCCGCTCACTTTGCCCCCTGCTGGCTCCTGTCCTGTTCACTGAGTTCTCAGCTCTCCTCAGCGGGCCGTACTCCGTGCCTGCAATTGGCCTAACGGGCTCCCTTCCTCTCCCAACACCCCAGTTGCAAAGCTCAGCTATAACGGCTCTCAGGGAAGATGGGGACAAAGGGCGCGTGATGGCACCGGAGCAGTGACCACATACCCCAGGCTTTAGAGAAGGTAGCAGAGGAGAGAGCAGGGTGGGCCCTGCCCCGCTGATGCAGCGCCTTCAGCAGGAGCCCCCACTCCTCTCCCAGGAGCTGAGCATTACCCAGGAGGAAGGGCTGGATCTGGGCCGGGCGCTGCTGCTCCGTGAGGTGTGGGCCACAGAAATGGCTCCACAGGTCGGCCAGCAGCTCAGCGCTTCGCTCTCCCAGCCTCACACCTGGCAGAGATGCGCAGGGCCGGGCGCCTGCTGGGGGGAGTGAGGCTCCATTCCACCCCTCACCCGTCTCCCTTCCGCTGGGACAAGTGTAGGAAGTGCTCTTTTGGAGGCCAGCACCCACGGCTGCCGGTGCTGGGAGCCGGGTGTAGGGATAGCTGTTCACAGGAGTGGTCTGGGAAAGCCCATTGCCAGCCATGGGGGCCTTGGGGACCATTGGAGACATTGGGGACTGTGGGCTTTGCTTGCCAGGGAAGGACCAGTCCCACAAGGGGCAGAGCCTGGGAGCCACGTCTCCCGCTGGCCATCTCCCCTGAGTGACAGTCCTAACGACCCAGGGTGAAGAAGGGGCCATTGGAGGACTCTGCTCCTTGCATGACATAACAGCAGTAGTAGCAGCTACCGCTGGCCCATGTGCAGGCCCTGTGCAAAGCGCTTCCCAAGCGTTACCTCATTGAAGCTTGGGTTCACATCTTTTTTTTTTTAATGTTTTTATTGATTTTAAGAGCGAGTGGGAGAGGGATAGAAAAAATAGAAACATCGACGAGGGAGAAGCATCATCAATCGGCTGCCTCCGGCACACCCCCTTCTGGGGATGGAGCCCACAACCCGGGCATGTGCTCTGACCCGGAACCAAACTGTGACCTCCTGGTTCCTGGGTCGACGCTCTACCACTGAGCCACACTGGCCGGCCAGGGGTTCATGTCTTTACTGTGTATCGATGGATGCTTGGTGCCTACAACAGTGCTGAGCACACAGTCAGTGCTTAACAGTGACTGATTGAATAAATGAACAGATTAAACCTTGATATGTATTAACTAATGTTACACCAATAAATCGAATTTTTAAAAAACATTGATATGGTCCAAAATACAAAAGGTGCGTAAGGAGTAACTTGCTTTCAAGTCTCCTCCCTGCCTGTCCCCAGCCGCTCCTATGACCACTTTCTGGTGTCTCCCCTGAGAGGTGAAGATCTCTCTTGTCTACACAAATGCGTTCCGGCTGCATATGCTGACCTGCCCTTTCTTTCTTCCACTTAACCACACACCCTGGCCGAATGCTCCTTCTCTCATCAGCTCAGATAAGGCCCCTGGTCCCCCCTCCCGGAGGCCTCGGAGGGAGCCACCTTCCTCGTCGCCTCCCTCAGTCCCACGGGGTTTGAGTTTATGGTGAGCGCTGCCCTGGGTGAGTACAGGCAGAGGTGGCGGCTCTATTGCTACACTGCAGACTTCCCCGACACCCACCAGAGCGCGTGCAAGAGGTCGGGTGTCTCACCCCGAGGAGTGGCCAGGAGCCAGGGGACCTGCTGGCTATTTCCATATCCACCTGTGACTCACTGAGTCGTGGGTAAGTCCCGCTGTGCGCTCGTCAGCGCTCTGTGAAATGGGCATAACTAGGCCGCCCCAGATGCCAAGAAGGGCAGGGAGACGTAGGAGGACACGCTGGGCAGAGATGGCATGTCTTTGGGCAGCGCACGCGTCAGCCAGGTAGAAAGTAATCACCAGAGAATTTCCTGAAGGGCGGTGAGCAAGGTGACCTTCGTGCT